CCTTCCGGCCCTTTCTCCCCGGCGGCGGCGGAGGCTCCATTCTTTCCTACCGCGCTCCTGGCTCCTCCGCTCCCCACACTCTCCCGGGCCACGGTCCTGCAAGGGTTTGCGGGTTTGTTGCAGGGGCAGCGACAGAAATTTCGGCCTCAGGCGTCTAGTCAAATTATTGTTTTATTATCATCCTCCTCCTCATCATCATCATTACTGCTGTAACAATCATTTAGACCAAATAAAGCCAGGGCCCAGCCAGCCAACCCCCTCCAACGTTTTTATTTTATTCTTCTATCTATTAATAACAAACTCAACGGATGCCTGTTAATTAATTCCCCCTTCAGCCAGGGCTGCTCCGAAGCTAATTTTGGTTAAATCATCAGAGACTAATGGTAATAATAATAAAGGCGCTGGGTCAGCCTGGTCAATTGAACTCCAGTTTTCCTGAAAGGACCTGCTGCTTTGCAGACCCATGTGTATTTTCCAGGAACAAATTCTTCCCAGAAACCAATCGGACCTCAGGGCCACCCCGGCTTTCTTTGGGGTATAAATCTGTGCGATTAAGAAGGGGATTTATGTGTGGGAGGGACTTCCTTCACCTACACGCCTTTTCTGTTATTTTCCTATTTTTAGTTTTCTTTGGAGTTTGCCAGCCGGGCTGAATGAGATTTAACTATTCCAAACTCACATGTCAGAAGAGAGGGTCAGTCTGGAGGTTTTATGAAAAAGCGTGATGGTGAGGCCTTGGGGAAGACAGATGAGGGGGGAGGGATGAAGGCAGAAGTTTCAGAAGAAATATACAAAACCCTATGACAGCTCAAACCTTTATTTTTCCGGCACACTTTTAAAAGGCTGCATGAAAAAAAACAATGATTTTATTTAAAAAAATTTTGCCCCAGAGAACTTTAGTAAACAGGGCTACCCTGTTTCCAGCCCAGAGAATAATATTGTTCAAATTGCTTTGTTGACTTTCTTTTTTTCCTAGGGAATTTTTTTTTTCTCTTTTAGAAAGTCTTTTCCCATCTCTTGGTAGGAAAGTCCAGCAGTTATCCAGTTTCTTTCTTCTTTTCTTCTGTTGAAGGAATCAAAGGAAACAAACTGTCAAGAAAAGGGTGGGAAAAATTAAGTCCTGTGGGGGGAAAAAAAAAATGAAGGAGGGAGGAGATCTGGGCCAAATGGTCACAGCACCAAGCAGCCGGGCCAGGGAACTGAAACAATCCTGCTCCTTTGGGGGCCCCATGGGGGCGGCTGGCCCCGGTCCCAGACGTGGCTGGGCCAAGACTTAGCCTGGAGGTGGTGATACCTGGAGCAGGGACATGCAGGGACGCGGGAAAGGCCCAGTTCCTCTGGTTCAGGAGGTGAAAGGTCTTCAGGAAGTTTCTAGGTCAGGCCGCTGTTATTGTCTTTGTGAGGTGAGAGGATCCCTGACATAAGAAGGCTCTCTGCTCAGCCTGCTTCTTCCTTCTGTCTCTTTCCGAGTTCTGTCTTTCCTTCAGATGAGACTCTGTGTGGGTGAGAGAGACCTGATGGACACGGAGGGAGGCAGAGGCAGGATGCCTCAGCTCAGAGAAGGGTATTGCTGATGCTTCTAGAGTCTCCCAGTCTCCCCCTTCTTGAGCCACCCTCTCCAGAGTTGGGGTGGAGGAGATAGGGGGAGGAAGGAGGAGAGGTTAGGCTAGTGTGCTGGCACAGGAGAGAAAGCAATGACTTTAGCAGTAAGCAGGAAGATTCTAGACCTAGCCAGACCCCAAAGGAGTACCGTCCTTATTTTTAAGTGGAAATGAAAACCGGTGGGCTTTTACTTTGCAACTAAAGCGTTGAAATTAAGGAAAATCCATTGCCGGCCAGGAAGCGGCCTCAGCATCTGCTGTGAAGATGCCGGGCTTGGGGAGAGGAAAAATCCCTATTGATGTCAGTTCCCTTTTCAGTTCCTAAGATGGATTCGAGCCCCAGTCCTCTTCTCCCCCTTGTGTCTCTTCTCTCACCCCGCAGGTCAGCGGCTCCGAACAGACCCCGGGAGGAGGGGGGCAGAAAGGGGAGGGGGGGTCCGGCGCCTCACGTGACCCCCAGGGGTGCCAATGTCCGGTCGTGAGGGTATCAGGCCCTTGCAAGTTGCCACCCACTGCCCGGGTTTCGCCCAGCGATGCAGAAAGCCACCTACTACGACAACGCCTCGGCTGCACTCTTCGGAGGCTACTCCTCGTACCCTGGCAGTAATGGCTTCGGCTACGATGGTGCCCCCCCACCCCCCTTCCAGGCCGCCACGCACCTGGAGGGTGACTACCAGCGCTCGGCGTGCTCGCTGCAATCCCTGGGCAACGCCGCCCCGCATGCTAAGAGCAAGGAGCTCAACGGCAGCTGCATGACTGGCCCGGC